GCTTAGACTGCTCGTCCCACTCGATTACCAACCTGATGGATCGAGATGACACTCGTTGACCGCACAAGCTAGGACATTTCAAAGTCCCCGGTTGCCGTGCCGCACTGATTCTCCTTGAACCTTGACGGGCAGGCTTGACAGAGAAAGCCAACATCTTTGCGAACTATTTGCTGCGGCCACCGTTCGTGGCGTGCGCAAAATCGTTACTCAGGGGGTTTGCGGCTGAGAGGCTTGGCCGCCACATGTCGTTGTGCGACCAACCAAACGTCGATCTGATCGGCCGGCGCCTTTGACAACCCACGCGATGTTGAGCCACAGTACCGACTATTTGGTTAGGTTCCGGCCGCTAACGAAGTAAGGGGACTAGTGCTCGCGGCAATAGCGAAAGACAATACCCTTTCCTGAATCACTGAAGAACTACCCCCTGACTACTGCATGAGATGGTGTCTCTTGTCGTTCGATTGAGCCTCGCCTGGAACTTAGAGTCCTCGCTTAGACCCAAACGAGATGGTCCCCCGATGCGGCTGTCAACGTCGACTTATCGCGGTGTTAGACGATGGTCTTTTACCAAGGCAAGTCTGACTCGAAATTTCGGCAGGTCGAAGGATGGGAATTCTTCGTGAAAGGCGAATTGCCATATAATCCAGAGATCGTCGTCCTCAGCTTCCGGATTCGACTCTTGTCCTTCAACCAACTCCTCTCTGCCATTCACTCTTTCATGGCTTGAGTTGCTTCTGTTTCTGTCTCTTATCACTTTGGATTATCACCAGCTATACCTAGCTGACCACACTCGTTCCTCTTTCAGGATTGTTTTCATCACTACAGACTTTTGATCTAAATCATCCCTCACACTCGTTTCATCATGAAGTGGTCTCTTACCCTTCCCCTGCTTGGGTTATCCGGTGCCCTCGCACACCCAGGCCAGCGCAATTATCTCAACCGAAGGAACGAGACTTTTGTCTCGGGCCAGTCTGGCAACTCCCTTACCCGGACTGCATCTGTGTCTGTGCCCCTCAGCACCGGTGTGACTTTCCACCCTCCGGCCAACTCAACCCGCACACTCACGTTGGCCACCGGCACGGCATCTGCCTCTGGTGATGTTGTTGCCGCAACGGCCGCTTCCTCCAGCACGGAGTACGAGTTTCCGACCTCGAAGCTCGGCCCCATCGCGACTTTGAAGCCTGCCATCCCAGACAACCACGATCTCAACGATGTCAACAACCTCACTCCTCAGCCTAGCGGCGCTGGTGCTCCGATCCACTACGCGCAAGATGCCGGCTCGAATGGAGGTGGCATCTATGCTGTTGCTACCCCCAAGTGGACTGCCCCGTCCATCGTTCTCGACCACTCTGGTCTCGTCACCGACGTCAAGCTCTCGGGCCAAGGCAACTTGGTCATGACCTTTGGTGACAAGAATGCTTTTGACCACAGCGCGTCCAACTGGAAGGCAGACAACATCATCTTCGTCACTTACACGCCTGAGTGCGGTGACTACGATCTGGGCCAGAGATGCTACTTCCAGGCCAACTCTGTTACCTTTGACCGCAACTCCCTCTCCGCCACTGCTGCAGGACAGGCTAAGGACATTGGTGATGTCACCAAGGATATCAATGTTGTGTGGGGAAACTATGGCAGCCAGAACGTCAACTACGGCAACCCTGCAGCTACCGCTGAACCCACCGCAACTGAGACTGACGTGACTCCGGCGTACTCCGTTGCTCCTACCATGACGGCTGCTTGTGTAGCTCCCGTGGATGAGAAATACGGCCTCCCAACGGCGTGCTTGGGACCCTACTTCGACGATGACCTCGACACAGAGCTCGGCTACTTCGAATCTGATGTCTTCAGCTTCAACGAGACCCTTTCCGAGGTTGACATCGATGGCGAGCTGACCGACTCGACCCTCACCAGACGTATTACCGTTTTCCAGGACATCGGTAACGGCTTCAAGAAGATCGGCCCGGCGATTAAGAGCGGCGTTGTCAATCTCGGCAACAAGATCGAGACCGGAGCCAAGGCCGCCAAGAACAACGTCGTCAAGACGGGCGAAAAGGTTGTCAAGGTTGGCGCCAAGGTCGTCGAGGTCGCTAAGACCGTTGTCGAGGTTGGTGGCAACATCCTCACGGGTAAGCCCAACCGCTTCGAGAAGGACTTTGACAAGCTCCTCCTCCCCTGGCCTGCCAAGGAGTGCAAGGAGGCCGAGAACGACAAGGACAAGAAGGAGAAGCTCAAGAACGCGTGCAAGCCTAAGAAGCAGGATAAGGACAAGGACAGCGAGGCCAAGGCCGTCAAGACCCCTTGGGGTGACGACGCTCTCCTGCTCAAGTCGTTTGGCACCATTCCCTCGCCCAAGGACCTGCGTCCCAAGGGATCCAAGAAGCAGACTACAGTCACCAAGGGTAACTTCATCAACCTCTACTGTGTCAAGTGCGGCCTCTCCGGATCCCTCAAGACGAAGGGCAACATCACCATCGAGAACATCAAGGGTATCACCGATGGCTACATCGAGAGCGACATCGATATCTCTGTCGGTCTCGGCATCGGTATCTACGCTCAGTACTACCAGGAGCACAAGTTCCGCAACAACCTGTACGACATCCCCCTTTCGCCCTTCACCCTCGGCTTCGTCACTGTCGGCCCCATGCTTTCCATCGGTACCGAGGTCAAGTTCAGTCTCAACATGACCGGCACCGCCGTTGCTCGCGCCGACGTCAGCATCGCCAAAGCGAAGTTTGTCTACGACTGGAAGAAGGGCGGCTCCAAGTCCATTGGCTTTAAGCCCGAGTTTAAGCCCAGCTTTGAGGCCGAGGGCCAGGTTGAGATCGCCGCCCAGTTCGGCATCCCCGTCGGCCTCGAATTTGGCGTCACCACCTTCAGCGGATGCACCAGGTGCAAGGGCTCCATTGGTATCGAGACCATGCCATCCATCAAGGCCGCTGCAGCCATTGCTGTCCAAGCCAAGTGGAATAACGGCACCGACGGTATCGAGGCTGGACTGAAGCCACTCAACAACTGCAGTGGCATCAGCACTACACTCAGTGTTCGCAATGATGTCACGGCCAAGTTCAAGGGCTTCGGGCTCCTCGACAAGGACTGGCCCGTCCACGAGACCAAGGACTACATCATTGCGTCGTACTGCATTGGGTAAGTGAAGATGTTCATCATAATCCTTGAGACACCTAGAGCAAGTACCATGCTAACAATTGAACAGCAACAAGACGGATGGTACAAGCAAGGGCAAGCTTGGCCTCCACGATGACAAGCGCTCCCTGCCTTCCACTCCCTACAACAGATATGAGTACCGTCGCGACGCGAATAACGTCTCCGTCCCCACGAACTCCACCACCAACTCGACCCAGCTTGCCGACCTGACCAAGTACGTTGTCGAGGAGATTGAGTACCTCGGCTTCAACGGCACCGACCTCGCCGCCATTCCCTACGACCTCGATGAGGCGGCCTTTGACGGATACTGGTTCAGCACCCTCGCCCTCGAGAGCGACAACAGCTACGTTCTCGCCGCCTGCAGCGACGGTAACGTCTACCTCCAGAAGAACACGACCCAGAACGAGCTCCCCTACTACATCACCTGCAACACCCTCTGGGCCGGCTACGGAGAGGCTGCTCTCTCCACGCCGACTGGCGAGGTGCTGCACTACTACAACAACACCATGGACAAGCTCGGCGTCAGCCGTCTCCGCTCCGGAGACGAGGCCAATCTCCCTGGAACCTCAGTCTATGTGTAAGTTTCCTTGAGTCGGGAGTTTCAATCCTTCAAGTTCTAACGCGTACACTAGCGCACTCACCCCCTTCTACTACGACGACAATGACAGCACCGCCAGCATCCTTGCCGCCATCGATCCCGAAGACAACATCTTCTTCCCCGCCGTCTGCACCTACAAGGGTGACCAGACGGCCAAGATCTATCTCGTCGGCGAAGACGTCGATGCCGGCCTCGAGATGCTCAAGTCCCCGGACCTCACCTACACCGTCACCAACGGTGAGGTTGACGAGTGCTACCTCCTCTTCCTCGGCATTACCAACCGTGAGCTCGGCCAGTGGGCCGACTACGGCGACGATGTCTCGGACGCTTACGACAGCGACCCGCTCGACGTCGAGTTCGATGACACGCTCTTTGACGCCGATGGAGACTTGTTGTTGCCTTCTGATGAGCTGCTTGCTTACCAGGATGATGTCAACTACGACGTCTTTGATGAGTCGTTGGATGACATTACTTGGGAGTAAGGAGTTGACGCATTTCACTCTGCACTTGGCTCTGACATAGGTGAAGCCAAGTGTGGTTCTTCATCAAAGCAAAAAGAAAAAAACAATTAGAAACACTACTTTAACTTAATACATAATAGAGATCATTTTGATTTTGATTACAGGGGATCATTTCTTCTAGCAACGATATGTCTCATACTTTGTAGTCAATGGGGCCAAAAACATCAAGATGAAGGACCTTCATCGTTCCGTCCAAGTGACGTCTCATCCCCGAGGGTCACGAAATGAGCCTTCTTTGGGCAAGTTTCGGGCCATACCTAGACCAGACAAAGGCTGAGCGTCACCATGCTCGACTGCCTTTGTGAGAAAGAGTCTTTTCATGATGAGCAATGATCCCAGACAGAGCTAGAGGTTGATTCCCGACAAGACTCAAGTTTCATGCTGATTGAACAAGGCATTGTTCTGACAGTGGTGCGTTGCACGTCTTATACCAACAGCATGCCAACAAAACACTTGGTCCGCGCGGCCACTTGGGCATCGTTCTTCTTTCTGAGGCATGGGCGCAATAGAATAATTTCTCTTTGACCACTGAGGACTTTCCAGACAAAGACATGCAAACAAACAATACAAGGACAGGAATCGGTGTCGACAATGCCTTGTGTTGGCATCCATTCAGGCTACTGGCTATATCTTCAGTCACCGTCGAATCCAACGTGTCTTACTCTGTAGCAATACCTATCAGAATCAAAAAGTAGACACTGAACTGTAAAAGAATCATCATGGATAGCTCAAGCGAAGATCACTCTCATGACGAGCACAACTCCCTTAGTGAGTACACCGGCAGTGAACATCAGTCATCCAGTGAGAACCACTCCATCGACGAACATCATTCGGCCGAGGAGGACCAGCTTATCAATGACGATCATCCTATCGAGGAAGGCCGCCCTGCGGAGGAAACACCCAGTGAGCTCCAGATCCAAAGACACTCCTTCTTCCAAAGGCCAGCAGAGATCTTATTCGGACCGTTCAGGAACGCCGTCTCTAACCACGCGATCCCCCTCTGGGACACTCTGCCACAATTCCCTCGGCCGCTACCGCCACTCCCTCCGACAAATGTCGAAGTCCTACTCGAAGAGCTGCTAGCGCAAAAGTCTATACAAGACGTCGAGGACCTCTGCGAAGAGAACCCTACACTCCGCAAGGTCTTCAAAGACAACATGGTACAGATTCTTCGGAAACACATCGCCCCAGAAGCCTGGTCCGATGCCATCTGCTGCGTCGATCGCCGCCTGAAACATCCGGGCAAGACGGCCAGAAGCGCCTTTGACGAAGACTACGCCAACGGCACCGTGGCGGACTGGCCTCCGCCCCCGGAAGGTGTTGTAGGATCTATCTCTGGCAGGGCCAGACTGACCATCTCCTATTATCTTCGAGCATTCGCAAGCGCCAGCCCCCAAATGAGTAAGTCTCCGTGTACACAACGCGGACAATGGGACCTAACCGGCCTCTGCCAGCTCGTCAAGACCATGGACCAGCTCCTAGACAGGGTCTCACAGGCTCAAAAGGTCTACGCCTCCTTTGAAGAGTGGGAAGAAAGCTGGCAGGACCGCCGCCCCGACGAACTCCCCGACGAGCGATGGGGCCCCGACATCACGACGCTCAAGCCCAAATTCTCCGCCCTGTGCAGGGATGACGGCACCGAAAACCCCAACAACCTGATCTACGCCTTTGAACGGCACACGGCCCACGACGAGGAACGAGGGCCCGTATCGGAGGGCGTCCTGATGACCAAGACGAACCGCGCAAAGCTCCAGCGCGCCTTCTTCCGGCTCGAGTTCATCCGGCGAGCGTACTACCAACAGCCCTTTTACCCCCGCGGCGCAGAATGGCAATCACGCAACGATACGATGGTGGAAGGCGTGGTCCGCGGCCCCGCGGGCGAAACCTACGAAGCCCGTCTCGCGCGCGCCGAGGAAATCTTCAAGCGCTGGGACAGCAAGGACGAGTTCGTCGAGGTCATTTGCGCCTTCAAAGCCACGCTGAATGAGTACGCCATCCCCGTGAGCGATCTCCTCCGAGCCTTTAGCGATACCATCGAACGGTACCTCGAGACGGATGAGGTCCGCCGCGCCGAAGCGGCGTGTAGGAAGAGGCACCAAGAGACCGTCTGGAACGGCGACGCCGTCGGCCTCCAGTGGGAATGGAACCCCTACGACCTTCGCCAACCATTCCTCCCCGCGTGGGACATCCCGCACTCAAACGACTTCTTCACCCTCCGTGCGCAGCTTCTCGATGACCGCGCTGACCTGGGTAGGCAGATGGATGAGTGTCTCCCCGCGCCCCTCGCGCGCGCCGGGTTCGACGCGCGGCATGCCACGATATATCGTTCTGAACGCATCCGCTTCGCACCGCGGAACAAGCGTGAGAGGGAGGATCCCTCGAAGCGGAAGCCTGCGGCAGAAGCGCAGCCCATGCACGCAATGTCACGGTTCTTGACCGTCATGTGCAGCCTGCCTTTATCGTTCATGGGGGAGTTCTTGGCTATGGAGTCGCACACGCAGGCCCGCTTCCTCAAGTCGGCGTACTGGGCCGTCGCCCGCGTCAGGGCCTCGAGGTGTCCGTCGTTTCTGTCCGGCGAGATGCGTGCCTGGTGCAGTAACCCCAACGTCGTGTACGACAGAGACGGCAACCCGGTCCTGGGACCGCGCCCCCGTCTACTCCCTGAGATGTCCGTCCGCGCCGCCTCCATGGCCTGCGTGTCTAATACGTACGAGTTCATCGAGAACGACTGCGTCGGATGGCGGTTGCCCTCACACCCGGAGTCACAAGGCGGCTGGTGGAAGTGGAAGTGGGACGACGACCGCCTCCCAGCCAAAGTCTGGAATGACCTACACTGGCAGATGTCATTTTTTTCGACCAAGATCAACAACGTCTTCCGCATGGACGACGTGAAGTGGGCGCAGGTCTGGCGTTCCAGTCGCGAGTTTGAGCGGCAGGTCTGGACGGGCCGGATGATGGACCGGGAGGTGTGGGAAGGGTACGGCGACCCCGGCCGCGTGGATGGGAATGACTGCTATTGTCGCTGGGGGTCCGGTGGATGCGGTATCTGTGTGCCACTGCCCGAGGTTGAGCTGCCGGAGTGGGAACTGATGACGCCGGCTGAGGTGCTGGAGGAATCTCATGTTTCGCAGTTTATGCGGCAGCCTTGGAGCAAGCTCGCCGATCTACAGCCAGCTGTGAAGGAGGTTTTAGGGAGAGCCGTTCATCGTGTCGAATATGAGGAGGCTACCTAGTTCAATGCGAGAGTCTGTGAATGGGCATACGAGAAGCTTCACTTCATGTTTTGGTATGCTTGATAAAATCCAGTTTGAGTGAAAAATGTGTAGGTTTTTGAAATGAAATGCCTATGATGCTGGTGCTAATTGTTCTGCTTTTTAAAAGATCTCTCTGTCGTCGTACGCCCTAACGCTCTCCAAGTAGTTCTTGACCTGGTTGTAATCCTTGCACACTGGAGCGTATTGTTAGCTTTCGACTGTTCTGCTTGATCTCAATTATGTTATGCGGTAACTTACCATGCTTCGAGTCCCAACCGTCGGAACCACCATTGTGATCCGGGAAGGTCGTCTCGAGACCCTCAAGAGCCATGTCGGCGCTGCACATGATGGTCTGTCTTAGGTAGGAGAAGCAGTGAATCATGTGCCAGTGGTGGTCGTCGGGAATCTCGTGGCCGGACTTGATACCAGAGTAAGTCTGGACGACAGCGAACTGGATGGAATGTTGTTAGACATTAAACATTTACAAGAAGAGGGTAGGTCTAAATGAGAGAGCGTACCAAGCAGTGCAGCTGGTGGGTGATGGAGGTGGTGAAGACGGTCTTCTCGGGCCAGACGATGGGGGTCGGCAGGTCGTGGTACTTGTGCGTGTCATTCACCCACTGGAAGCCCATGCCATCTGTTGTGTTCGTGTCAGCGAATTGCAACCTTCTTACTGTTGTAAAGACTGAGTTACTTACAAGGCATCAACTCGTTCCAGTTGTTCAACGTCTCATCCGTGAAGAATTTTGACGTGTCGTTGGGCGCGTACTTGCCCTCGTAATCCGGCGTGAACGTCTTGATCTGCTGGGAGACTACACATTCATCAAGTCAGCGACCCGGATTTCCTCCTTCTCGTCGTCTCACTATCTTCGCGACGAAAAGAAATAAACTCACAATGCCCGCTAACACCAGTCAAGTCCCCACCAAAGTCCCACGTATTCACCGGCGGCTTCTGCATCTGCTCCCTCACCAGCAGGCCCAGGATCACAACCAGCAGTATCGTATCGACAAACCACCGCGACGAGTTGAGCATCGCCAGGCACCTGTTCTTCCTCCTCGCCGGCTGGTCGTGGTAGTCCTTGGCCATGCAGCGGCGGCACGCCTTGTCGTCGGTGCCGAGGAGCGACTCCTCGACCTCGGTGCTGCTCCGGTCATCGTGGTCCTCGAACTTGATGTTGGCGTACTTTGCGTCCGACATGTCCATCTTGGGCGAGTTGTCTTTGTTTTCTCGAATGAGTGTCTTTTTTATGTGTAGTGAAATAGACAAAGCGGATCAACCGGCGGCAAGCAAGTCAATGAAAGAGAGAATTATCGAATCGAATTAGAAAGACTGAAGTTCCTGCAAAAAAGCACTGGATGCTAGAGACAATGCGCCAGCGCCAAGGAGAGAAGAAGACGTAAGAAGAGGAGGCAAAAACCAAAAAGAGATGCGAAGGCTCTTTCATGCGGGCCATATCGTTCTTTTGTTCAATCTTGCCCCCATCCATTTCCCCTGTTTCTCCTTCATCCTCGCCTACAATAACCGCCCTCGGTTCGTTACGCCGTCCTGTTTTCGGTTCCCCGTCGTCTCATGTCCAGATATCACCAGAGTCTGAGGCTGAAGTTTCAGGACAGGGGTTGTCGATGTTCCCCCCAACAAGCCGTCAAGCCCCAGACTCTCTTTCCAGTCCTAATTGTTAATTGTTAGTGCATCTTTTTCAGCACAACAGAGTCAGTAATAGTGAGAATAGCGTGTGACTAAGCAGGACAACGCCTGTTTCAGCGATCCTAAAGCCGCCAGGCGGCCCCCGTAGTTCACACATTATTCGAGTCCCCCTCCCCGGACGGAGGCCCTGCAGTGTTTCCAGTCGTGTTTTGGATTCCGTCCAAAGTCACATTCTGAGGCGCGCCATTCGTCGATCCTTCGTCTCTAGTTGCCGTCTTATCCCTTCCCTTGGTTTTCTGGCCTTTTTCTTTGCTTGTAGGTAGGACGAAAGTTGCTTCGCTTTCTGCTGCTGTATTGCATTCTCTGAGGTGGGTGATGCAATGTAAACCCAATTGATTAATGGATTCTCTCAGCCGCTTGAAATAGCCTCTTCTTCTGCGTCTACTTTCCGTCTTCCCGCCCCGATACCTCATTGTTGCATGAACCTATCTCATGTTTAAGAAAGCAATGGTTTAAGTGACAGTTGCTTATGTGAGATTTGGTTTAGCATATTTAATTTTGTGATGTTGTAAATTCGTAGTGCTTCCCGGAGGTGATCTACACCGAGTATGATCAAGCTTGTTGCCAAGCCGCACATCATGTCGAGACGCAAGCCGAAGCGACGCTCTGCTTAGCCATGTCCCTTTAGATTCGCGCACCGGCATTCGATAGCTCCAGAAAATCAAAACAGCTCAGTCAGAGGGATATACTAAGGCCTAGATTGAATGCCTTTGAAGCTGGTTCTTCAACTTCCTTGCTGCATTTCGCATCTCGAGTCCGCCAAGGACCCACACTTGGGAAGCAAATCTTCACTGCGATTCTAACCCATCCCAAGTGAACCTACGTAGCCTTGCCATTCAACGCAAGGTCAATATTCCGCGCGAATCTTGTCTCCCCTTTTGGCACTTACTGCGTTTGTGACTTATTACATGTAGCTCATGCAGGCATTGCAATAATTCGAATTGCACTGCGATTTCGACCCATCTTAAGAGGCTCAAGACAGTTTAAAGGCGTGACACACTCTCCGAAAAAGAGTCAAATGTAAGCAGCGAGAATTCGTAGAGGGCCAAACCAGGCTATGGGCTGTACTATGCAACCCACAAGTCTGGAACGCGGTCTGCACTGCATTCTTAACCCATCGCAAAGAGTCAAAGTCGAAGAAAACAAGTCATCACTGTGAGTTTTTGATGCCAAACGGCACGAATACCTGCAACGAGAACAACATTGTGCAGTGTCTACCTACTTCACTCCCCGTCCTTACAAGTGAATCAAAAGCAGATGTAACCCCCCATCCTCACTGTCCGGTCTCCGCGCTTTCTGGTGAGTTCTGCCATCGCGGAGAAGGCCGATCATTCACATGTTGGAGAATCTACGTGCCATAACGCCCTTCTGCCCCTGGTCACTTCATCAAGTTCTTCGCGTCAACCATAATACACGTCTTGAGTTCGACTCCAGAGCAAATCCGGCGACAATGTCAGATTTCTCATCAGACTTCCCGCGCTGCAATAAACATCGCTGCCCGTCTCGTTACTTATTTGCAGGCTGGACGAACCCAAGATCTACTTTTGTTTCTTCCTCATTTGGCCTGGCTACTAATAGATTGTCGCCATCATTCATGACTTCCATATCAGCCATATAGCTAATGCGGGACGCCTCAGCCTTGATTCTGCCACGACTCTCCTGAAAGTGGAGAATCTCACCCGGGGACGGAGGCTGGAGGAAAGTGGATACATACGGAAGCGTCCGTGACAGGCAATTGGGGAGGTATCTGCCGGGCGTGTCTTTAATAGCTGCAAGCCGAAAACAGTCAACATTCTCCCTCCATCGGCAACAAAAACTCCCAGCGCAGCCGTAATTCGGAGCTGATACTGAAAAGCGGTGGGTGGCAGAGATACAACGCTCAAGGCCGGATGCAATCGCATCCAGAGACGCTGGTTGCTACCTACCCCATTCGTCTTGCTGGAGAGCAATGATCTCGGTTTCGGTTTTGCAACGCTGAGAAGGGGGGTTCCAAACCAATTACATCTTTCATCCGTCTACATCAACAAATCTCAGGAAAACAAGGTGTTCAGATATCGTGGCGCCATGCGGCTCACGCTATGTATATTGACACAAAGGGTAAGAGACTCTATTAGTCTTCTTCTCACATCCATCCGATACTATGTACGTCATGCCGTCATTCAGATCGTAAAAGTCTCCTCCCTTCGGCTCCAGCCGAGGCCAAAGGCCAAATACCACCGCCGAAAAAAGGGGGTAAATAGAAATTAAGTTGTAAAAGAAAAAAAAGTTCTCCCTCCACAATGGAGAAAGGGGGTATCAAGTAGTCTTAACAGGGTTATATCCTCTAAACATTTCGCAAGGAAGATAGTTATTTTCAATAAAGGGCGTAGCGGCCTGAAAGCCAGCCACGTCGGAGAAGGAAGCATCGGTTTGGAACGGTCCAAGATTCGACTTGAGCGTCCCGCGTACGGGAACAGGCTCAAAGGCTCCGGTGGTGACGGAGGTGTTGAAGAGGCGGATCTGCTGATCGCAGGTCGAGCCGTTGGCGAAGATGGGCTGGTTGATGATGGTATCGAACATGGCCAGCGTGTAAGGCGGGGCCTTGCCACCGCATGATGACTTCTTCATCTCGAGGGACATGTACTTGTCACCGGCGGTACCGTTGAATGAAGTGCCGCCTCCAGCGGTAGCCGAGTATGCATTGCATTCGGGGGTAAAGGTGGCGGCGTGGACTTCGGTGCCGTACGCTTGGGAGCCGGTGACGGCAGCGGGGTTGGAGGCCGAAATCAGTTGCTCGGGAGCCCATCGGAACGATGATTTGCCGTCGCCTAGGAGGTCCAGAAAGGGGAACTCAAAGCCAGATTTCTGTTTTCCGATGTTAGTAAAGTTTCTCCAGGTGGAAACGTGCTGCAAGCAGGACTTACACTAAAGTCGGGAATTCCAAAGTCCTGAAAACGAATATCGTGATCGTGACCAGCCTGGACGACAACGGGATACATGTCGGCTGGGAAGTTTGGCATGAGAGCCCTGTATGCGCCCTCGAGAATGCCATACTGCTGCGGAATGATTTGGCGCGCAGTCGTCATGGGGATCGGGATGATGACCATGGTGACGTTCAAGAGACCGGTGGCGTTATTCGGGTACTGACTGAAGATGGGGTTCGGCTGGTCGACATTCGTGCAAGTGAGCGGAGTAGCCTGGGCGGCAGTTGTCTGCATCTGGATCCCAAAGATGACCAACAAGACCGCGATGGACGCCTGAACGAGGTAGTTGGAGAGCGGCATGTTGAGCCAAG